TTAAAAGAAACCACACCAAAACCCCATACAGTTCCTTACTCAGCCCTGCTTCCTTTTTATATCCAGAGTCTTATGCATCTACATAGAAGTAAACATATTAGTGGTGCAGAGCCACTGCAGGAAAGCAGGGCTGCTTCCACCCCTGCCAAGCCTCAGCAACAGCACTGCTTCTTCCTCATCAGTTGCATTACTGGGAAACCACATCTTCCCTTTTGACTCTCACAGTCCTAAACCAGAGCACCTCTCTCAAGCTCCCTGTGCCCTCAGACTCCATTAAAGGGTCTGTCTGTTTTGCACAGACAGCAGCTGCAAATCTGTCTGGGTTTATCATCAGTCTGCAAGATCATATGCCAAAAAACATCAGCCCCTGGAACTATCCAAAGACACTGACCTCCCTTTCCCTAGGCCACACAAAAATGCCGAGCCCAGGAGAGGACCAATCCACATCACTAAAACAAAGGAAGACAAAAAGCCCCAATCAGGTGCCTCTTCACATCAGAAAACAAGCAGATTGCACAGATGCTGCTGTTGACCTCATTTGGCCTATGAAAACTTTTTTAGAAGGATGAGGATTCTCAGAGCATGGTTGAATGAGTAGGATTAGGAGCAATTCCTCTTCATCTTGATAACTAAAAAAATAAAACAACTATGAACTCAGAGGACCACAGCCTATTCCAGAGCTCAAGAGGAATTTTCTGACCCAAACAGTTCAAAAATGGTATGAGTTTCAGTTGCCCCCATGTCTCCCTTTCACCATTTACCTGATAGAAAAATGACCCAGCACTGAAAATTGGAAGATAGAAAATGCATTAACAGGCTCCTCCAGAAGATACATCTCTCATCAAAGAATATGAAACTAACAGCTGAAGTCTTGAAAAAAGTATTTCACTTCCTCCAAACTTACAGTTTAATTATTACTAAATGCACAAGCACAGACCAAGATACAACTGTTCTACATCAAGAGTGATACATGATCACTGTCCAGCACTTCAGAACCACAGAGCCCAACAATGCCAATTAAATAAGGCATCCATATAGCTAAACTTCAGGAGGTAATGGGAATAGGGTTAGAATTATTCAAGTAACAACAGTGTCAGGTCTTAACAGACATACCTACACTGCAAGACACCCCTGCAAGCACACTAGGAGCTTCACAATGTTTTCAAATGTTTCAGCTTTAACAGCACACCATGTCATGATAATGTAGCAACTACTAGCAAATACAAAAAGATGGTGTTTATAAATCTCCCAGACAATTTTCTGAGTTTTACTGCCATCCCAAACAACACCTGTTTCAAGTTTCCCCAGGCAGCCTGTGAGTGGGCGTTCCAAGGCACCACACCTTCAGCCCAGGGAGGAAGCAGAGTCCAAGAACTTGTGGGTGACATGTTCAACAACCACACTTCCTCCCAGGTGACACCAACAGTTATGTGGCACAAAACACTGCTCTGCCCTGTCTGAAGGTCCTTAATGATCAGTAGCTCTTAAAAAAAAAAGTCTCAAAAATGCTGGCCCTCATACTCTGGAGAGCAGTGCCATGTCCCCTGTGTAATCTTTGTGGTCCCTGGCCTCAAGGGTGCCTGGGAAGATCGGACAGCCCTGGCAAAAAGTAGTTCATAGCATGTTCAGAAACTTCTCTTTCTCGTGTGCATTCAGTGGAGATGGAGAAGAGACTGGAGACAATGTGACCTTCAGCTCTTCAAACCTCAGGAAAAAAAAGGCATGAAAGGGTCAATACTCAGACTTGTCCAACCACCAGCAAACACAGTATTTCCAACTGCCTTCACTCCCTGCTACCTCCTTGCACTGCATTATTCTGAACCTACTCTTACATAGTATTGTTCTTCAGATTCCAGCTCCTGGAAGCCAGCAATTAACTGAAATCTGTCATTTCAAGAGGTAATGAAGTCTACGTCTCACGACTTCTGAGAACCACCTGCTTTTTTTAATATATATTTCATACTTTCCAAAAGGCTGAAGTTGCCAGTACTGGCATATTTACATCCTACTACTTCATAAGTTGTCAAAAAATCTGCCACCTTTTAGTCAGTTATTATATGCAAAATCCCAACTTTACAACATTTCTAGACAGCTCTAGCATGTGTACAATTTATACCTCTTCCATTTGATTTTGAAAGACACTGAACTGGAACTGGTCTGGAATAATTCAGTATGAACAATACTCTTCTTGAATAAATCTGTTAAACATTGTTTTCCAAATCTAATGATGAATCCTCTAAATTCTATTTTCATTTTTAGGGAGCTGCATATATTAAAATACGAATCACCTTCACAGCCAACAAAGCAATTTAGCAATCCTGGACATAGTTTATTTTGCCTGAAATAAGCTTCTCTTTGATTATATGCAAACTACTGTGTGTAGTTTCTGAATGTATGGAAGATTCTGACACCTCCAGAGAATAAAAACATGCCCTAATGATATGAGTACAGCGTGTGGATAACTGAGATAACTTTATAACTTGAACATTTATGATCACAAGCCTATGCTAGACAAACTACAAAATGATTCCAGAACTCCATCCATTCACTCCATCACTCCCAGCATTGTACAGATCGAAGGGCACACTACACAAAAGTGAAAAAGAAAAGTGAATATCACAGCCTAACTTCTTATGCCACTGCAGAAGCAGTTGTTCCACTGCAGTTGCACTGCTTCAGAGAAAACAGACATATGCTGTGGTTGCAAGGCCAGCACTAGGGAGATACCACCAGGCAGATACCACCTGAGTACATTCACATGGTGCTGAGCATCTCCTGCAGAACTATTTCCAAACACACTGGAGCTTTGGACTGTGTGAAAACTGTTCATAGCAGAGACCAAGCTGACTGCCAGCAGTGCTGAGCATGCAGTTTGTATCTGTCCAGCCCAGCTGTGATCATCTATCTTCAGCTTCATGGCTCATTGTCATCCTCCTGCAAATAGCAGCTCCATCCCCTGAGCAAGCCTCAGCAGAACACCCCACACTCGGTGATCACACGTATTTTTCTGAACAAAGCCTTTGTTATGGGTGTGCTTGCATGGAGCCAGAGTTACACACTGTCCATCCCCTCTCCACTGCATCATGCATGTGCACAAAGCTCCTGCTCAGAGCCCCCAGCCTTGTAAGACCCTTTCTCTCAGTGCCTTGCTTAGATCTTCCAGCCAGTCCAAGTGCACAATGAGACAAGACTCAGATCACCCATTATCCAGAGCTGTCAGACCCTGGTCTCTTGCATGCTCAGTGGAGAGCAGTCTTTGGGTACAATTTTAAGTTGTCATTGTCAATATGTCTTACACATTTTGGCAAGTAACATTCCAGTGAGCTACATAACAAAGCAAAACCTTTTCTTTTGCAGCAGAGAAGCAAACTATGTTGCTTCTTCCTGTTTCTACCATGATTAAGCAGCTGATTCACTCTCAACATCCTTAAAAGATGACTTAGAGAGGAATTTTTCTTTCCCAATACAAAATAAATCCAGACACAAAAAGAAAGGCAAAACTATTTCACAGAACATTCGGAAACTTTAGGATCTTTTGACAGGTAGAAAACTGTGATTTCACTGACCTGCACCCCCAATGTCTCCTTGTTTCTAATCTGTGTGAATCCCTAAGCCTCTATTTTTAATTTAGTAGTACTAAGTGCATTATCTGAATGACAATATCAGCAATAACACAGACTTAACCACTGCAAAGACTTACATGAGAAAGACCCTACTTCTGACATGAAAATAAATAAAAAACCAGCAGTATGGGAAAACAGAAACTTCCCAGAACTGCTTCTGTAAAGCATTTTTCAGAACCTTTTGAAAAAGCATCTATAGCTTCAAAGGGAAAGCAAAATACGATTAGAGCAGATGTGCCACCAGAGGATGGACACCAAAGTGAAACACACATTCAGTGCACCGGAGAAAGGACAGCCCAGCCCTGCTACACCAGGGTCCCTTCTGCATTCTTTCTGCAGTGGAGATCAATGCACAAGGACTCATCAGGCAGGGGCTTGATGAGTGGGATGCTTGATGGGCAGTGGGACCTGAGGGAGAAGCAAGACCAGACAGCTAACTGCTGTGCCACTACTCTTCTGATGTACTTCAAAGGGTCTTTTCCTTCCTCTGTCGGTCTCCAAATGGGAGCAACACAACACAGACTCCCCTTTTTAATCACGTCTATTTTCTCTTCTTAGATCATTTTTAGGGAAGGCTTCACAGTGAAAGAACACTTTTCTAGGTTAGCTCTTATAACTACAGAAAGGCACACACAGCATAGTGCAGAAGCAGTATGTTATGGCAGACAACGTTTAATTGCTGCAGTTTCTTGACTGGTGGTTCTGCTTTGATATCACAGTGACAAAGGTAATGAGGGAAATCTATTTTCTCTTCTTAGATCATTTTTAGGGAAGGCTTCACAGTGAAAGAACACTTTTCTAGGTTAGCTCTTATAACTACAGAAAGGCACACACAGCATAGTGCAGAAGCAGTATGTTATGGCAGACAACGTTTAATTGCTGCAGTTTCTTGACTGGTGGTTCTGCTTTGATATCACAGTGACAAAGGTAATGAGGGAAATCAAATACTTCACTGCCTGCCTGCAGAGCAGGGTTAATTGACACCTCTGTCTTGAAGAGCACTGCTGTTTGAGTCTTAGCTGAGCTCTCCACTCAATCCAGGCCAAATTTAGTCATCACTGATGTGAATTTGTGCCAGACACCTATTTAATAATTTTGAAAAAGAGAAAATAAGCACAGGACAGAAAAAAAAAAAAAGAAACAGGGCAGAGGGAAGTCAGCACAAAAGCCAACCTGTGGCAGCAGAGATTCATGAAAGCAGGACAGAAGGAAGGGGCACAGAGCTTCACAGGTGACAACATTTTGCATTATGCAGAAACAACAGCAAGATAAACCAGGACATTACTGGAACAATATTGTCCATCATCGTATTTATTTCTACTTTAGAAACTATAGCTTTATCAAGAACAGCGTAATAAATTAAAGAGGCATCCAAACCTTATAGACTTGTCCATATGTCCCATTTCCAACAACCTGCACCAGTTCAAATATTCCCGCAGGATCCTGCAAAAAGCAGATGAAATAACATTATTTACATTACAGCAACCACTTCGAAATGAGAGAGCCTGGAGGCTGAGCTGCTGTCCTCTGCTATGAAACACTTGGCACCAGCAATGTTGCAAAGGAAAGAACCTAAATAACAGAATCGAAAAAATTACTATATAAGGCACCTGAGCCCAGTTACCTTACTGCAGGGAAATGCACCATCCCAGGCACCTGTAACACTACAGTAGGCTGAGAATGCCCAACTGTCCTGTCCTGAAAATAGAACAAAGTGGATTTGACTGATGTATTGAACTCCTGGCTTTGAACCCAAACTAATATTAATGAACCAGATCAGTGTACCATTCCACATGAACCAACTTCCATCCTCCTGATAAAGCACCAGTTGCTTTAAAACCAACCACTGCAGCAGATGTCCTCTTCCAACAATGAGATGCTGCAGCCCCTCAGATACAGGCAGATCATCTTGTTGCAAGGCATGGGCAATGTTCACTCCTGCATGACTGAGGCCATTAAGAAATCTGGTGCTTCAGTTAAAACTCACTGGAGAGATTTATATAAAACCATTAAGAACTCAAGGGACCAGTTTCTTGGTTTCTGGCTACGCCATTTATCACTCTGCTCATTTCTTGCTATGGTATCATTGAGAGATTTATATAAAATATTATTAACTCCATGTGTCAGTTTTACCACATCTGTTTCAGCAATCTGTCATGTCAGTTGATGCCTACTGGTACTGCTGAAGGATGTGAGGAGATGAAAACATTATCTCAGAAGTACAATTTCTATGACCCTGGTTGCAAAACATCCTTTTTTAAAGGTATCAAGCTACTTTTTCACTCCACTTATAAGTTAATCTTTTAATATAAATAATTCTTCATTTCTGATATGGAAATGTTTACCTCGGCAAACATACAGGCTTTTCTTTTTTTTCTGAGCAGATTCTGCCTTTACTGGCACAACTGTGATGATATATGGCAATAGCTTTCAGAGCAACACAGCCCAGACTTCCACAACAGAAAGTACTAATGAGTTCATTTAGTTTTGTCTTTAAGTTAAATGAGTTTTAGTCTTATACTTCCTGCACTGTCAACCTCACATGACTTTTTTAAAAAAATCAATGCATAGGGTAGATCAAAATCTCTTATTTTTGACCCACACAGGCCATGCTGTGTCTTTTTTTTCCCCTCTCATTTTTAAAACAAGTTACTAAGACACAGCCTTCTAGACTTAAACCCCCATTCCAAAAGCCCTCACTTAGAAGGAAATCAGTGGGAACACTCACATATGGAGCTAAGCACATGCATAAGAATGCCTCTAACATCGAGACTGTAAAGCTTTAATTTCTTCATTTTCCATTTTCACTAGTCTGGCTATAAATGAGCCATATGCTCTGCTTCAGTGGAGCAGAAGTCAGCAAATAATCCATTGCTACTGCTAAAGCAACAGGTGGGTGGCACAAACCTCTGCTCCACATGTAACCTCCCCACAGAAGTCTGCTGTGGGTTGCATGTGGTCCATGCAGTGAAACTCACCGTACTCTGAGGAACTCTTCCAGACAGGAGCTTCCATGCACAGTATCTGCTGTGCTCCATGTGAAGCATGAACAGCACCCCATTTCCACACCTCTCCTGTAGCAAGCAGCACCGCTGAATTCAGAAGTGCTCACAGTTCACAGAAATCCAAAAAAACCTAAACCGCATTTTCGACTTGGAGTTTGCAACTGTCCCACTCACTTAAACACATGCTCAGGCCTCACTCTTCTTCTCTAAGCTTATTTATTATGCAAATATAGTAATTTAAGGGAACTCAAAAGCAGCTTCTTTCTCCCTCCAAAAAAATTCATTCTGAATTAGCATCCTAAGAGTTTGCTTCTAAAGGTTTCTGACACTCGAGGAAAAACCCAAACAATTATCCAGATAAATGTCAGCATTGACTTTAATATAGTGAAAATCCTACCCTGTCCTTGCTAGCCAATTGAGCATTAATGTCTCAAGCCTCTGCAGCTCCGAGTGCAGCCAAAATACTTGGCCATCTCTCTTCTTTTAATCAGGACACCATAGTGAACAGAGTCTTGTTAAGAGTCATAAAGGATATTAATCTGGGCTCTGACTGTGGTCCTTGGATTGCCCTTGTTTGCTTGGATATCAGCACTGCATCGTTTGCTGGCATTCTTCACAATGGGCCGACTTCTTAATTGTCTCAGAGTTAAGGTATCATCTTTGATGTAGTGCTTCCTCCCAGCTACCCATTTAAGCCCCATGGTCCAGCTAACCCTTCACCAGCCAGCACCTGCCAAATTGCTAGGTTCCCTTTGACAGATGCCAAAATCCTGGTCTGAACATTCATTACTCTAAGGTTAATTACTGCAATACATTGTACCATATGGTGGCTGCCTTGGTTTCCTGCAAGTCATCTGCAGGGCACTGAGAAGGCAAGATCAAGGCCGCTGACCCAGAGGCACCCAAGCCCCATTCATCTCCTCTACAAGGCAGAATTAAAGCAACACACGCAGCAAGAGCCCTACCAAAACACACTTTTCACATTGCTGCAGCTATAGACGACACAGGTGTCTGAATCACAAGTTCTCCTAAGGACCTTGGCACATACTGCAGAGTTCAGGGGCTTTTTAGCCATCTGACTGCCCTGACTAGCCCAGGGCAAAAGTACCCCAGCAAAGATGCTCCAGCAACATTAGAGAACTACAGCTCCCCTTCTTTCCAGGGAAAGGGGAAAGTCCTGGTGAACACCCATTTGGAGGGGAATGAGGCCAGCTCCTGTGGTTTGAAAATGATCACAGCCATGCCTCCCTGCAGTGAGGCTGGTGGGAGCAGGAGCACAGCACCATGCAGCTCCCAGTGGCCCCAGGAACACCTCAGACAAGGCAAACGTAAGGCACCTGTCTTTAAATTTCCATAGCTGAGCCTCACCTGCCTCCCATTTTCTGCTAAACACAACCCTCAGACTGCTGACATGCTCAAAAGGTTTCCTCTGAAAGGAGACATTTCTCCCTTCCTGTTGAGGCCAAAACGTGTCACCCTTTGGAAGTTCTGAATCAGATGGTTTTGACACAAAGCCTGCTGTCTGCTTTGCAGCATGACTCTTTTTAAAACTGACACTATTTTCTTCTTTAAGGAGATTAGATTCATCTGCTAGAGCTCTAAAGAACTTCCATTATTTTGCCTTACACCCCTGAGAAGAGCCAGGTTAAATTTCTGCTTGCCTAGCCAGAAGCCTTTTGCCATCCTCACAAACTTTCCTGTCCCTGCTACCTTTCTTCTTTCTGCCTCCGGTTTGGAACACCCTCCTCACCATGTGATTGTTGCAAAGGCTTCTCCCAGCCCTCATTTTTTTTCCCCTGATATTTTTAGAAAGTAGCTTGCTTTGGTTTCACTGTCTGGGGTTGCCTGCTTTTTGCCACAATTGAACTCTTCCCTCCTCTTCAGTTAACAGTGCTCCAGAAAAAAACTGCCTGGGTTGGATGGGTTGCCAGGTGGTCAGGCAAAGTAGAACTCAGGGCATCATCATCAGCCCTTTTAGCTGCCTGTGGATGTGAAACACTGACAGCACAGATTTTAATGCGGTCAAAGTTTGGATTATGTTAAAAACCTAAAAGCATAAGAGGATAACAATAAAAATTCATAGTAAACTAGGTGAATAATGACTTTTTTCAGCTTGGAGGAGAAAAAAAGATAGAAAACCCCAAACCTCAACCAAAAAAAAGCCACAAAAGCCAAACTCCCCCACACATAATTTCTTCCAGAAGATCCTCATTTCTCATTCCTTTTCTCTCCACAGCATTCACATCACCTTTAGGAATGTCAGGAGGAATTATTTATTATCCTGGCAGGAGAAGGAGCCTCTCCGGAGAAGCGCTCCCAGCCGGGCAGCGCAGAGCGACCGCGGGACGATCGCACCAGCGAAGGGAGCGCGACCTCTGGAGCCTGCAGGCTGCGGGGCCGGGGCAGCTGCTGCGAGGCTGCTCCCCCGACCCCGGGGCTGCTCCCCCCGCAGACCCCAGGGCT